TTAAAAATGATTCTGGTTCTATCATCCACTCTATAAAGATAAAACTTCTGTAATATTTAACAAATATTACAGAATATTACAGAAAGGATAACTTATTTCTGAAATTATTAATGGAAATGCCCAATGCCTTAGTCATTATTTTCCGCCTGGGCCTCTGACATCAGACTCACCCCGCACACTGTATAACTCTTCTTCCTCTTTTTAATTGTTTTCATTGCCGAGCATGTTCAGACACGTCTGTTTTAACTTCCTGCAACTGCCGTATTATCTCCTCATTTGCATCTTTTGCTCCTCTCTTCCGACGCCTTTCAAGTACCTGTCCTCATTTTGGCAACGGTATCATCCGCGCGTGAGCGGAAATCGACATCGGAATTTCTTTGCTACACATATTTCCCATGATCCCGGAATTCACCGTCATTTCCGGAGAAAGGGGGGGGCGCAAAATGCTCAGGTAAGCTTACGCATCGCTTGGCTGATCTTTTGGATAAGCGATGTATCTTTTTTTTTTTTTATCCCTTCTCTGAACCAGCCTCCGTGAAGCGATTTATAGCGCAATTAGGTCCGTTAGGTGTCGTATTTGTTATTTATTTTAACACACGAATGGAAAGAAAATGTGTATTTATTCCGAGTTTTTTTTTTTTTTTTTTTTTCCTTCCTTCCCTTCTTTCTATTGTTATTAGCCCAAAAGGGCTATTCGTCTCGAAACACGATTTTGCGTCGAACTACTAAAAATGCTTCGTTTCACTTTTCATTCGAGTCTATTGCCATTCGCTAAGATGTAAGATTTTTGTCTTCCATATTGAATCTGTGTGTTGGGGATTAACAAACTAAGCTATCTGAAAGCAACAGATGCAGGAATTTTATGCGGCTCAAGTGCGAAGAACGTGATATTTATTAAATAAAATTAACGCACGAAACGTTAATAATAAAAAGACAAAAAAGGGGGGGAAAGAAGCAATGACTGATATGATTAACGGATAAAGACTAGCGAAAAACGAGAAATCAACGAGTTTTTGTTACCTAATCATAGCTGGACACTTAATCACAATTTCGAGTTTGGTTCTATAAAAATAATTCATAAAGCTTCTTCTATTGGTGAATTAGTTTTCCTTAAAATTTTTCACTCCACAAAAAAAAATTAAAAATTATCTTTTCCGTTTATGACGTCAATTCAGATCCATTTCTTCCCAACGTTTTCAAAATTCTAATATTTCAGTTTTTTCACCTTTCGTTATTAATATCCTCGACATATGACGTTCCTAACATTTAAAGTGGTTATCTCTTCTTCCATGTTTCTGCTTACGTAGCCGTATAATAGTTCTTCCTTTAAGAGAAAAATCTCTTTTCTGTCCTGGAGAAAATAGACCTAATTTTCATCGCTCTCAATGTGCAAAGTTGAATTCAGACTAAGGTTGCTTTTTATTGCCTAATTTTGAACCATTATGTTTTACTTCCGTAACATCGTTTCAAGGTTATAAAACATATAACATATCTGTGTTTTACCTTCGAATGCAATTTCGGATTTTTTTTAATTGCCAAAACTTGAATAATTTCGTGCTTTGAAAAACTTCTGTTATTGAAAGCATATGCCGTTTCCATTAAAGAAGGGAGGTGCACAACTAGATGTCGCAGTAGTCCCACATACGAAATTTCAACGTTTTACGGCTAATCGTTTCTGAACTATGTGACTTACATGCGTATTACGTGCAGATGTCACAAACGGATCTATTTTTAATCTTTATTCTATCCGTACATTCAGCCATCACGTCAAGAATAGTCTTAATGAATTCGGGTATAGAATGGATATTTCTGTTGAAAAATGAAAATATCCGTTGAAATCTATTAACCGAGATTTTGCACGATTACAATAGTTATTGAAAAAAAGTAGAATTAATTATAGTGGCAAGTATGCCCACGTACCATGCATTTGTAAATTGCAAGCGAAAAATATGAACAATTTACGAATGACTCTTTATATAAAAATCTGATGTGTACCCCACATGACTTCCTTGTATGGAATATTAAATTATACTCATTTTTTCTTGCATTTCATTTAAACTTATTGGATTGAATTAAATCTACTTCGTCGATAGCGCATAAACCACAATAGAATAAATGATCTCTTTTAAAATTCACTATATTTGTTTACCATAGCGACACTCTGGCGCTAGGTTCACTTAACAGCGTTATATTTCTAATTCAGAAGTCAAACAACAAAATCAGCGTTATATTTTCAAATTTTCACAGGACTAGTTTCGATGGTTTTAACCGAACCACCATCCTCAGCTGCTTTTTCTTTCATTTGCGCTTTTGCAGCTGAGGATGATGGTTCGGTTAAAACCATCGAAACTAGTCCTGCGAAAATTTGAAAATATAACGCTTATTTTTTCTTTAGAATTTCCGATACACAATTTCGCACGCTGGAGATAAAAATGTTTTATTCCGTACAGTGTTGCCACTATTCGTTTTCAAATTGCTGAGTTTGTTAATAAAAAATTATTTGAAGTGTTACAAAATAGGATGTAGATAATAAAACAAATTCGAAATTCGGACTTTCAAGTGCCCATGTTCGGGTGGAGGATTATGTTACTCAAAATTTGACGGCTCTAGGTTGGTTAGTTAGTTAGTTAGTTCTAAGCACTGGCCCCCAGCCCACCTAATAAGCGAAGGGCTATGAGGGGACAGACGAATTCAACAACAAATGAACGTTAAATAGGTTTATATCACACTGTAAATTAATTAGCTTCATTTACAGTTTTTCTGGTGAGTTATCCATGTTCGTTTTTAATGGAAATAAAAATAATGTAAACTCTGACTTGAAAAAAAAAAAAAAAAATTCTGAAAGGTTTCAGAATTTAAATTACGTCCAAAGAGGCTTTTTTTAACGTTTTGTAAGTTACCTTTATTTATTAAATATCATGTTCTACGTACTCAAACCATAAATTCAGTTCAGCAGCAATATCGCAAAATAATTTTTAAATGAGCATATCTTTAAAATTTCCCGATACAGAGTCTAGCGCTAGAGATAATTTTTTTTCCCCGTAGTGTTGCCATGGCTCGCTTTTAAATCGTTGAGTTTATTAATCAAAAATAAGTTAAAGTTTTACAACATATGAAAAAGATAATAAAGCAAATTCCAAATTTCAAATTTGGGCTTCCACATGCCCATACTCGCAGTAGGATTACGTCATTCAAAATTCGATGACTCTATGCACTGTTGTTTTATCACAATAGGAGAAATATACCACTTTTTGTAATTTTGCCGTTGAATTGTATATGGCGTAATGCGGAGAAAATGATGGTTAATAATAAAGCTAAAAAGAAGAAAAATGGGTTAGCAGGAAAGAGTGCAGCAGCAGACTGGTAGACTGCAAGTTGAAAAGCGAGAGCGTAAAAAAAATCTTGACAAACCTTTTTGGGCGACCGTTCTTTTTCTTTTTTATGACATTTTTCTTTGGCGTATACATTTAAATACATATGTGATGCATATTTATTTGTAAAATACGCGTATGTTAATAATTACGATTAATTTATCTCTTATTCCAGCTTGTCACTTAATCGTATGTGATTATGGTAAAGTTTGTAGCACTGGAGAAAATTACTAGAAATTATCTTGCTTGCGTATTGAACCGACCAGTGGCCAAGCGGTAAAGTCTCCGAGGAGTGTCTGTTCTTTCCGGGGTTCGAATCTCACCAAATGAGCTGACTACATGGACGTTTTCGCGGTTTTCCCCATCTGTAACCAGTTTCTCTTCGAAAAGTTCTTCATGAAGGCATCCCTCTATTTAAGCACATATCCCTCGACTGCTTTGCTATAATCAAATAAACCTAACCAATCATCGCACGTTGTAAATACTCCTTTAGTAATCGGATTCATTTCTTAGTAATTTTTAACTGTGAAAAACAGCTGCTGTGATATAAACGTATTCTGTAACAACGGATTATTCTCAATGCAAAATCTCGTAACTGAACTATTTATTTCTCGAAAAGTACGGATAAAATTTAATCAAATCTGTATCTTCAAAATTTTAATAAGTTTTATATCACATTGTAAATTAATTAGCTCCATTTACAGATTTTTCTGATGAGTTACTCATGTTTGCTTTTAATGGAAATAAAAATAATGTAAATTCAGACTTCAAATAAGACAATTTTTTAAATCTTTGCAACACTGTATTTTCAGTAACTGAAATATTTTGCAGGGTTGCAAAAAAATGCTTCGCAGGCCGCCCGTTGGAGACCACCGAAGTAGACTCTATCGTAATTTCTAATATAATTAATTTGTGTAAAAATATTCAAAAGCTCAAAAACGTAGAATTAAATATTGTCGCAAGTATTAGAATGTTATGTTACAGAAGAAGTGTCTTTTAAATACTACAAAATGTAACAATTAATTAAACATTTTCTTGATTGAATTAAGGAATATGACGAGAGGAATGTGAGTTTTTAAATAACTGTCGATTTAAACTTGTTAGTAATAACACTATTTATAAAATATTTTTCGAATTTGTTGAATGATTGTTGAAGTGTCATATTTTGCCACACGTCTGCTTACGCGAGCCCCCTTTAGGGTGCATTTCGATTTTAAAATCATTTTTTTCTAAGAGGCAGATGACTCAACTGGTCCGGGGAACGAAGAATGTTTAGAAGGGGGAAGAGGATATTGAAAAGAAATGTTCTTCATACCGGAAGTCATACCAGAGGGGTCTATGCACAAAACCCCGTTTTCTATTGTTGAAGTTAGGATTTTAAAAAAAATGCGCTGGAGTCCTCGATACGTTATTTTCAATGGAATTTGGCGCCAACGCAATTGTAACTCACCCCTCCAATTTCCTGAGAAAAATGGTCGACTGCAACCGTCAGGTGTGGTCATAAGAGAATATTTTCTTTTTGTACCCTCATTAATGCTTATTCTTTTCATACCATAAAGTATTAAATTAGATGGTGACACCTTTTGTATCGTCTGTTGGCTAATCTTTTGTCTTCTGGTCTTTCAACAGAACTGAGCAAAGGCACCGTTGGAATGATGAGACACAGTGTGTGTGCCGAAGTGCAGGACCTCATCCACTTGCCTGGACCTCTCACCGAAGACGCTGTCCTCAGAACACTTCATGCCCGGTTCTTCAACAGAGAGTATTTTGTAAGTATTACGCCTCTTTAATGCAAAAGCAAATAATATAAAAAAAAAAATTTAAAGCCAATTTCTACTTAAGGTCAACAAAATATTTTAAAAAGTCCCCCCCCCCAAAAAAAAAAATTAAGTACCAAAAAAAATTTTTTTTAATTAAAGTTTAAAATTTTTAATACGTGAAAAAACTGTATTAACATCAAGTGTCATCCACTACAAGTTTAAAAAGTGTATTTGAGCTTGAGTGGATGATTAAAAAGTGTTTTATTAACGATTGCAAATAAATTAATTAATAATTAATTAAATAAAAAAAACTTTTTAAAAATCACTTCCTACTTAGGTCAACAAAGAAAAATTTTAAAAATACGAAAAAATTTTAAAAAATTTTAATATGGGGAAAAAACTACGTTAACATCAAGTGTCATCCGCTACAAGTTTCAAAAAATGTATTTGAACTTGAGTGGAGGAATGAAAAGTATTTTATTAACGACTAAAAATTTGAACAAGATACAGGGTGAGTGTGAGCTAATAGTAGGAATTTAATAATATTTTGATAGTTGCAGTATTGGATACTGTTGTGTTTTCGACAGTACTTTTCACATTTCTTATTTACATATTTTACTTGAAAATCGATTCATGAATGTTTTCGAAGGTGGGTTGTAGCTATAACGGTATCTATTTTTACAGAATACTTTAACTAACCAAAAAGAAAAAAATCGTAAATGTTTTCGAATGTAGGATATACTGCTATACCGATATTTATTCTTAAAAGTTATCTTCTTTAACAAAAAGTTTCTAGAATATTTTCAAATATATAATATATGGCTATACCGGTGTTTATTCTTACACAATAACTTGTTTAATACCAAATTTCGTGAATGTTTTCCAATGTACAATATTCAGCTATACCGGTATTTATTATTGCAATATGCCTTGATTAAAAAAAAATTATTGATGAAAAACTGAAATAAAAAAATTTGTGAATTTTTTTCGAGAGTGGGATGTACGGCTATGCCACTATTTATTTTTACAGGCTACATTGATTAACAGGTACAGGTAGAAGCTAGGCCAGCACCTCCGTGGCACGACACGCAATTGAGGTATTGCTGAACCTACCTAACTATTAAACTTTCCTCCCCAATTTTGAGGGAGAACACTTCGGGAAACATATTTCACAAGTGCACATCTGTGTAGCCACCGAGAGAGTGGCTTCTAGGATGGACCAATGAGCATTCAGTAATATTTCTGTCATGTCACATGACCTTTCGCACGCTTTAAGATTTAAGCAAAGATGGTTGAAAATATTTTGCCACGCAACTTTCTGTATAAAATAATTAAAGCTATACCTCGTCTGATTTCTTCTGAAAATTTTCATTGCGAAGTTAGATCAAATATAAGCAATTGGGAAGATTTCACTATCTGGTTGAAAGAATTTGAAATAAATACAAACACATGTTGGATACTCCGAAAAAATATTCATGCGAAATATTACTTAATAAGTGATAAATAAGACGAAAGAAATATGTGATACACATTTGGAACCCAAATGCTATCTTTACATAACATTATGCATATGAGAAAAATATTTGCACCAGTTATATGTGTAAATAGAAGTCAGTACTTTTTATTGCAGTCTATGTATGAAAAAGATGTTCTACAATAATAGGCAATGCATAATTTTATTCAAAGTTTTATTCATTCATTTACTTCACTAATTTTCATTCCTAATTCACTAATTTGCATTTAGTGTGTTAAATTTCACATTTAATAACTGCTTACTCTTAATTACACAAAAAAACACTCATCATACAGAATGAATTTATCTATTCATAACAAATATATTCAATTTATTCACATATAACTTTTAATGTTAACGATGGATATAATCAGATTATAAGGTATTTCTCCCACTTTCCAAGCGTCTTTCGTGGTGTAGTGGTTCTGCACGCTAGGCCGGTATTCCAGAGGTCCTTGGTTCGATTTCCGGCGAAGGAGTTGTTAATTTTTCATCTCTCCGGCTTCCAAAAAATGCCTAATGTCTCTACAAGATCATACACAATATGTATTCTGAATCTTACGCTTTCAAAATAAAAAGAATGTAAGCACTGAAATAAGAAAACACTAGATTCATTGGAACACTTCCAATCCTTCTCAGCTCAATAAAAAATAAAAATAGAAATAAAACTATACACACGAATTCTCTTAATCCACATTTGTTAGTAAATGCATAATATTCGATGCTAATTGTAGCCTGAGTCATTTTCTCGATGCAGAGGGAGATAATATGCCGTGAACATCACTCCAAATATCAAAGAGTGGTAAAAATCGCGAAAGTAAAATGTCAGCGATTAATTCAACTCAGAAAACGAAAGCACTACGAGATTTTCTACAATTACGCCGTACATTTATAACTGCGAAACAAATGCCAGTTAAAACGTAAACAACATACGCTCACATGCACGACGTCACAAGAGCAATAGAAACTCATTGGTCCATTTTTGAAACCCCTCCCTCAGTGGCTACGCTGATGGGCACTTGTGAAATATGCCTCAGGGCAGTATTCCAAGGATCTCACTCTCCTCTTCCTCTACTCCTACTTGAGAGGACTTTCTGAGATCACTGATTTCTAGTATTATTAGTGTACACAACATGCTGAGAAGAGACCGTCCTTGAAAAGTTGAACAACTGATGCTTCCAAAATTCTAAATGTATGTATAAATGGGCTTTCTATGGCGGAACGTGTAACAAGAAAGTCCCTGCTACTCCCGCTCGTCAGCATCGCGTATATTAAAATGAAACTGTAAAACCTTCATATACAGAGGCTGTTCACACATTTTTTAGACGATGTATATTGTATTCACAAAACTTAATTACATAAAATTCTTGTGTTTTAAATGTTCTATTTGACATCCCTTATTCTGAACTATCTTTCGACACCGCAATTTCCAGGATAATAATGCCTTTTGAAGTGGCAGAAGAAGTATTCTATCCCATTCCTCCCGAAAAGCTTTCCAAAGTCCTGTTAGGGTTTTGGGACAATGTTTGGATAATTAATTTTTTAAAAGTCCGAAAGCACAAAAGTCCATAAGTGACACATCGGGAGATGTAGTAGGGATATCAGTGAAGGGTATAGCCTTGATACCAGTTTTTTGTTCCATTTCTTTTAGGAAATTTACAGTGAATTTTGATGTATGACTGCTAGCTTTGTCCTGATGGAGTTAGTCTCACAGATGGATGGCACTGTGGGTAAAGCGATGGTATTTCATTCAGAAAAATTGGCGATAAAATACGTTTCTGATAGTATTTGGAGTTAATCTTGACATTTGTTTTGCACTCTCTTTATTTTTAACTTGCCATTATAAGAAAAATCAGCAACAATCATGAATCCCTTAGAAAAACTTTCTTTCGATTCTTTGAACCATGTACTTAATTTTTTTTCTCCCCCTTTTTTGATAATAAATGGCTCTTTTTTTTGTACAATCATTTAAACACACCCATGCTTCATCTATTGTGACAATTGTTAAGTGTTTCTCATATAGAATTCTGCAGCGTGTCCTGCGTTAAACAACGTACCTTTGCAATAGTCGAAGGTGTCCGTTTTTTCCTTGGATACTTGTTTGGAATTTTTGTCCGACTTGAGGCTTCCAATTTGACGTTTTTTTCCTTTCTTGTTGATGATATTACCTTTCGACGCTTTAGATATCACAAAACCATGACTCTCACATCGTTTTTGGATAACGGAGTATGCATATTTCTCTTCGGAAAGAGCGTCAATGTAGCCTTCGAACCACTGCTTTGTTAAATTCGCCATTTTGAATAAAAACAAAACTTTCAAGCCACAGACGATAGTTTTGACTTTTAAAAAAATAGTACAATTGCAATTACTTCTTTTGCAGCAAACGATTTTTTATTACCGCTTACCAAATTCGTCTAAAAAATGTGCGAACAGCCTCTAAGAGTCTTCAGTGTTTTCGGAAGACGGAAACATGGTAATAACGGTATTTTGGACGGATTTTTTTTGACGTGATATGTGGGCACACGGACTGTGTTTTAGAAAACGGGTTGTAAAGTGCATTTAAAGGGGAATTAGATTGGATTTTTTCTTGACGTCTGTGTAGAGACATCAGGTATTGTGAAAGCAGGAGAAGTGAAAAATGAGCAACGCCTTCTCCGGGAATCGAACCACGGACCTCTGGAATACGCGAATTACTTTGGGGAATAATAATTAATTAAGAATTCATTTGGGGCAAATAATGAAATCTAACTTTTAATGCGTCTTTCGCTTCCTATACTTATATTTGAGTATATTTTATACTCGTTATGAAAAATAAGATTATATGAAGTTTGAGACAAAAGTTGACCGGAATATTTAATTTCAGATTTTGCAATTTCTAATGTTATTTTCAATTTGCTTCAAGGAATCGGTTAATTAAATTATAATAATTCTAAGAAATAAGTTTAAATGAAGTGCAGAAAAAAATGTTTATAACTTAACAGACCGTACAAGAAAGTCGTGTGGTATCCACATCAGATTTTTATTATGAAAATTGGAACTATTTTATTTTTGTGCACATAGGTTTTGACAATAATATCATTTTTTTTTAATATATTTTGCGTAAAATACGTTTCAGAATTTCGTTTTGAGCCTTTATTTTACTTTTAATTGCTGATTATTATTATTATTATTATTATTTTCATTGCAGTTAGTAAACTACTTAATCATGTCAGTTTAAAGTGGGAAATTGCACAATGAAAATAAATTATTCTTTAATGCATGGGTATTTTAAAAAAAAAAAAAGAAAAGCAGCCTATAAAAACACAAAATTATCTAAACGTCCTCTTGGCAACACATGAATAATAGTAAGATCTGGTAAAAACTGGTACAGTTCTGTTCCAAAATGATGTCAACAACAGTGCTAATTCACCGAAAAATGCCGTCACATTAGAAGACAAATATTCGCCTGAAATACAAAAAGGGAAAAAATTTGTAATGTTTTCCCGAAGTTTCTGTT